GAAAAAGCCGCAAAATATCCTTGTTTTTTTGTTGTTGTTTCTTGTTACCAGTGTACCTCCCTGTTTGATGTCATTAATGTGTATTCATGGACGACGCTCATGAGTATGCCTCCCAAAGCGATATGCTAATCACACATCACACCCTTTACAATGCCCTTCATGGTGTGCTGCACCGACTTCTTCTTTCACAGATTTGGTGTGCAGAACAGAACCGTTTGCAGTGCACATTGTATATCTCCTGCCTCGTCATTTAGATTGACGCAGAGCAGCGAGACGCTGCCACTGTAGCATTCACACTTCGTTCTCAAACCACTATATCTTCCGGCGATGCATGCAGTCGTCCAAGCTAAACCGAGCAATGCTGTGCCGACGGATAACGGCACTGTGGTTCTAAAACTGAGTCACTTTATGTTAGCGAACACAACGGGGGTTCTTAATTTTGGGCATCAGGGATATAGCAACCTTCTAGAAAAAAAGGACGATCCAGCAGACTTCAAATTAAAGCAGCAGGCGAAGGCGAAGCTGCACTTGTCTAAAGTCAGATCGGCGCGACACTGCTAGCGAGAACACCATATCGGCACTCTTTTGCGTTTTGTGCATACCAAAGGTGTATTTGTGACCACCAGGTTGTGTTGCCTTTATGTTGGAGTCTAGGCAGTAAATGTGGGACAGACAACCGACGAAATCCGGTTATTCGCTGCAGATATCGAGCGTAAAGTTGCCCGTGACTTCAAAAACCGCTGCTTAAAAAAGTGCGCAAAAAACAAACACACTGCCGGGCCAAATACATGGCATATTTGAAGTATTACGCAGCACATTTGCTTCATTGTGGGTGGCCAAAACGAGCACGTTGGACTCTGGTACCAGTTTTTATGCCAGGCCGCGGTTATACGAATCCGACTTAAGCGTATTCCAATCATCCAGGTCCTACGCGAACGTGGCACCACGCCGTGTTACCTCTCAAAGTACAGCTGCGTTTCCTGGACCAGCCGCACCACGTGACCACGTTTTCCCACTGGTGTTTCGCGCGCGAAACATCGGCTGAAAAATTAAAGCCTTTTGTGCTCCCAGGCCGGGTCACTCTGGAAGAAAGGCGAAGTTGATACGCACGCACTACCGAGCGATGTTGTTTCCAACCGCTTGCAAGACACAGTCGCATCTCGCCTCGCCAGACCGCGCCAACCGTGGCCGAACGACGAAGCCGAGTTACTCTGGGGCAAGGAGGAGCGGCCCCAAGGTAGGGACTGATCGTTCTGTGGTACCAGCGCCTGGAGCTCTCAGCGCCGTTCGTGTTTGCTCCGGAGCTTTTAAAGTGATAGTGAACTGAAATTGAGGGCTCACAAAACAAGGCTCGACGGATAGGCCAGACGCTGCAAAACCCCAAAACATCACTCAAACAGCGATATCTTAAATGGATGGCCGTATTTTTCGGAAAAGAAGGGCACAATTGAACACGGCCTACGAGGCTAGTCACGTCACGATTGTCATTCCCTGTCCTCCTCGCTACTTCCCGTCGAGCTGGTGAATCGAAGAGAGGAGGAGAGAAGCGAGTACCCTTCCCCTCATTCTCAAATTTTCCAGGAGAGCAATGACGTGATTGCCCTCGCTTGGTCGCGCCCTTCTTTTCCGAAAGCACGGCCATCCGTATGATATATCGATGTATGACTGATGTTATGGAGTTCGTAGCGTCCCGTTCAATTTTCTGCCGCCTTATTTTGCGAAATCTAAATTTCGGTTCAGTATCCCTTCAGGACTCCGTCCGAGACGCATGTTGAAAATCTCACTTCCTTCAAGGGGCCGCCCTCACGGAGCAGCTCAGCTGTATTCATTTCACTTACAATGGCAATGAAAGCTCGCGTTTCTTCTCGCTAGAAAATTGGGGTGAACACCTGGGTCTGTGCCCGGTACCGCTCCCTGCCGGTGGGATTGATCGCCACCGTGTTCTTAGCCGTTCACCCGCTCCCCCAGCGAGTGCCTTCTCATAACCCTCTGTATGCACGCGCATTCGCCATCTCTACCCACCTTTATCTAGTGACTCGAGTGCGATGCGCTTCCCTAGCGCACTGTACCGTTTACATTACCGCATTGCATGCGACAACGAGAGTCAACGCGCTAACGTCCCATTCATGTAAACGCAGCTACAGCCTTCAGATGGGCCGTTCAACAATATTGGATAGGACTGCTTCTCACCTTACAAAAGCTTACCGGCATGAGTGGGAACCTAGCGTACTCGCACTCAAAAGCCACTGTCCAAGAAACTTTTTGTATATCTGCGTGATTTAAAAAAAAAACAAGCGGACATTTTTGTTCAGTCTTCTCTTCGCAAAAATGTATGGTGAAGTTGCGAGGACTGCATTATTGGCGTTATCAACGATTTGATTGTTCAGTCCTCCAGTAGTAATCACCATCAACCCTGGAACTGCAGAATGACACCTCACGTCAATAATTAAAATGTTAATATACAGATTTAAGCGAGTTAGTCCACTGCTAAGACTATTATCCCCTCATCCCATCTGCGCACAGCCTGATAAATCCATAGTGAAAACGGTATTCAACTAATTCTTACACTTAAAAAAATGTTCTAAATTAAAATCTAACACCCTGTAGAGTACAACCCGAGGCAGTGATTTAGGAACAAGCTTCCCTCCTTATTAATAAGGCTTGTGAAACTGAGCATGCCCAATAATATGCAGTACGATCATGACGTCACAGGACCGCGCAGGTGCTCATGGAAATCGAATAACAGTGTGGCGGTCTCTCTCCGGCCGGCAGTTTTAGCTTGGCTCTAAGTCCCAGAAGCAGAACTTTGAAATCGCACAGCACTATACACGGTACCGAAAGATAGACTTAGGGTTTCAAGGATGCTGACTTCGTTTAAAGCAGCCAAAACCAACGAATCAAAAAAAAAAAAAAAATGAAGCGAAGCGGATGTTGTTCGTTATCGCATCTTTTTGCATTAGACCTTGAGCCTCCTTACTTTGAGCCTAGTGGCAATACTTGTTTCTGTTCTAGTACCTTCTCGTAGCAACTAAGGTGGCTGTTGTTCTCCCAAGACGTGACTAACTTTTTTCAGTAAGATAATTATACGACGTCACTAGTCAATAAAGAAATCGAATTAAGATTAGTTCAGTAGGTTACGCAGCAACCTTGGAATAAATGCAAAACAACGTATTATATCCCACTGAAACTCTTAGTCTACATGATTAGATGCGTTCTCGCGCACGGGTGGGAGGACGCATATACTCACTGATAACGTTTGTAACAGCAAAGCGACTGGTATATACACGGGAGAAATACGCCCTGACTGCGCGCAAAAACAAAAATATGGGTCCACATTTTTTTTTAGTTTGTTTAGGTGACAACACGTTGCCTCGAAACATTAACTTACCTCACCTTTTTTTGTGTGGACTGCAATTTCTTCCACAGCCATCCAACAACGCCACGCCCATGCCATGACAAAGACAAAGAGGCCGACAAGGGATGGACCGAGCTGGCACTCAGCATGACGATCATTTTCGTGCCCATTTATTAAGACGGGACAACCCGATAGAATTACCAACTAAGAGAACGCGTCTGTCATACGTCGTGCACCAGAAGAGCTGCTCGGCAGAACGTGGGATAAAACGAACGTTGCACAAGGCGCTAGATATTATCAGCCTTGCGCGTTCAACTGCGAGTGACGTTTGTCCTGACCCACAGTAGATTAGCTCGTTTACTCCCACGTGAAGGAAGCTCAAGAGCTTCGTCAACGCACAAATCGTACCGCACTGGCCGAAAAAAAAAGGCTAAAGGTACACCTAAGCACTTCTTATGAGTTGTGGATGCGAAAGCATGCAAAGGCGCTCGCCCGCTCCTTCATTACGTCTGCTGCGTACTTTTCGTCGCCGGTCAGCGAGCGCGCTCTCCTCGGCGCGCTGACCTTGGACGCTCCGTGTTAAAGACCGACGACCAGTTCGCGCTTTCCACTTTTCGCCCGCTTCCTCCTCTCCCTCCTACCCTTTCCACCCACGCCCGCCCCTCTTGGTCCCCTCTTTCCATCCTTCGCTTCCCTCGCCCGAAGGCGTGGAGAGGAGGGTCTTCTGCCTTGCAGAATCTCGAGTCTGGTCGTCGGCCTTTAACGGCGCGCTAACGGACACGCAGCGCCATGGGGTGAGCGGTCGTGGAAACTGACGGGCGCAGCGGCCAATGGGAGCCTCGTCGACGCGCGCCAGCCAATGGGGCAGAAAGCCGAAAATCATTCAGCTTTTATCCGCTCCTTTGGGATCGGAAAATTTCGGTGCCGTTGGCTAGCTTTTCGCGTGGTTTCGTAGCTCGGAGCTGGCTTCACTTGGAGAAAGGATTTAAGGCGTCGTAGGTGTGGCTGGCTCCATGAGCCAGTTAATGTTTTCGCATTAAAAAACAAACAAACAAAAAACTCAACAGCGGTTACTGTAGTGAAACATCGAACTACATTTTCTCTGCCTATACATAGCTTCCAGCAACGTCGCAGCAGTTGCCATTGTAGCAGTTTTGCTGCAAAGAGCATACTTTCCTATGCACCCCAAATTTATTTTTCTCGGCAAGAACAAGTTGGTATGACTGCCAGCATGGTGACGCAAAGTGACACAAAAGCCAAATATAGTATGTTTCATTACACGTGCGCGCTAGGCTAAAGCTACAAGCACAAGCTCGTTGCCTTGAGAGATGCTTGGCAAGGACGCTAAAAACCAGAAGCTCGCTCTTGTTGCCTCCGCTACGTTGGCACTTACCGCTCATTCACACTGGAAGCGGATCCGCGTTCGCAAAGCGGTTGCGAACGCGGTTTTACAAAGATCCAGTACAATTGCACGCGCATTCGATGACATCAAGCGCGCGTGCAATTGTACTGAATCTTTATACAACCGCGTTCGCAACCACTTCGCGATCGCCGATCCGCGTCCAGTGTGAATGAGTGGTTAGGGTGAAACAAATTATTATCATGTATAAAACCACTTTTATTGATAGACAATAGTTAAGGCGACTTTTAAGAGTTAACAAATTACCATTTTATTCAACTTGTCTTTCGAAAGGGCGCAACGCTTAACAGCAACGGTACGGCACAAAAACAAATAAGGTAGCTATCCCTTGGCAGTTCGCAATGTACTGAACATGCTTTCGCGCTCACTACATCACGAGTTCGGGGCTCACGGCCTTGTACACAAGGCGTATAAAGCAACCAATGGGAAATTTCCTCGGTGAATTTAAAGTGGTTCTGTACCACGTTTCTGTCATCATATTCTCCCGCGCAAAAGTACGTGCTAGCACTTACCACTCTAAGGGTGCGACCATGGAGCGCTTCTGGATCGCTCCAACTCGCCCGAGGGAATTCCCCATAAACAATCTACGCGAACAGTGTCAACAGCCCATTCCCCCAATGTCGTTTGAGTACCGCCATTTTATTGCGTGCAGAGCGGGCGCCATCGGCAACGTTTACGATTCGACAATGCGGCTGCTTTAGCTAGGCTGTCAGCAAGTCCCGGTAATGTCGCTTTAACCTGGCCAGGGCTGTTTTAACATTTTTTTTCAGGGACGGGAAAGCGTTTAGTTTGGTTTTAAATAAAGCTTCATACAACTCTAAAAATTATTTTGGCTCAAAAAGGCGGCTGACGCGTCGTTACCCCGACGCGTAGCTTGTCTGGTAGCTCTGGGGACGCAGTTCGAGTAGCTCAGGGCAAATTCGCCGCGCTGGGAAACTTGGGGTGCATGGGCACTTTCTCGAGGAACGGGTAGAGGGCGCCGCGGACGCAGCGTTGCGTGCTCAGGTCGCACTGGAAGCCCTGTGGGCAGCAGTGCTCGCCGTCGGAGCAGCACACCCCGGACGCGAAGGGGCAGCAGTTGTATCTGCCGCTGGGCGTCGGGCAGCACGTGGTGTCCCCGGGGCAAATGTGGCCGTCTTTGCACGTGGTGTCCCGGACTGCGGAGCAGGAAAAGTGTCGTCGCAGTTACTGTTGCTCTTCACAAAATATTAAAACAAATTCTGTCTCTTTTTTTTTTTTTTTTTAGTGTTCTGTTTGCGTGCAGCGTGTGTTTTTGTGCTTTTCTTTGTTCGTTCGTTTTTGACGGAGGTTCCAGAGGAGCCGCCATATACTTCGTTCCCATCTAAGCTGAAAGTGCGAAGGAAATACTTTACACACTGGCCGGCCTTTTCAACCGCATTCTTTTTATCGTCTGGCCCCGCTTTCTGCGCGAAGGTAGGGGGTGCGAGAGCATCATCCCCTGGCAAAAGGCGGACACATGAATCGTCCAACGAGCTGGTAGCTTCCTCCGCTCTGTCAGCTTAGGAAGTAAGGGAGTATAGTGTTTACGAATGTCGTATTTTATTTACTTTGGCAACAAACAATATTATATAAATTAAAAAAGACGACTTTTGTGTTGCTGTCAGTTAGTCCTGACAAAGAACCGAAAGAACATATACAGCTCTTTCTAGTCTTGTAGTTCGAAGGCGTTGTTGTCATTCGTGCACAAAGTATACACTATACTCATATAGAAAAGACTGTTGATCACATTCATTTTTTTTTAATGGGCCAAAGACTGAAGACATAATTCGTTGATAGTCTAACTCGAAGCTGATTCCCACTTTTGTAAATTTTCCGTTAATAATAATTATTTCTAAGCTTGATATCCATGTGCAATATAGCAAACAGAAAAAAGTAGTCGGTATTTATATTATTCTTTTATTGTTTTGAAGTAAAAAAATACACATCCGAATAAAGTGTTCTCTAAACGCACTCAAATTTTTGCTGCATATAGGATAAAGGTATAAAATGTAAAATTAAAGGAAGTCACAACTAAGGAGCTGCTTCGTCTTCGTGTTAAAATAAATTCCAATCATGTCCATTGCCTTATCTCTGGTTAGTTCACACACACCAACCTCTTTTGTTTAAAAAACGGATGGGCTGCCAAAGAAAATGAAACCATATTGTCGGGGCTGAACTGTCCGAGTGCCATTGAATGACAGCGATTACAAACTGTAGTGTTGTTCAGCGTACAACTTGACACCCGTTCAAAAACTTTTAGGAACTTGTAGGGTTGAGCTCGAGAAATATACACTGTTCCGGCTGTTAAAAAATAATTTATTAATTAACTTCAGTGGCCTTATATATATGGTAAAAAACACTTGGACTAAAATCTTTTTTCGCCAAAGTAGGCTGTTTTCGGAAGTATTACAAAGAACCTCGTTCTACCTGCTCCTGTCTTTTTTTCTCTCAATCTCTTACTGCTACCACGATTACTTTCATTGTGGGCCTCGTTTATATCCTGCCTCGCAACAGACGACCATTGAAATACCGTTTTCCAGAGGATCGGTTTAAATATAGTGATTATTGTGGTGTATAGACTGCACACACGCGGGCGCAGTCATGAAGAAGATATAAACTCACTGCTCGTTAGCGATGCCCAATTAACCATTGTTGAATCGGAATTTCGGAAAGCGCATTTCTATAGCTCTCGCAGCTGACTGAAAACACTCGGGTTGGTTGTCAAAAAAGGGGAGTAATGTTTCTTAAAAATACACTCGACTTTACACGTAGTCAGTCAGTCTAAGGAGTCGTCGTTTGTTCATGGTATTTCGGTGTCTTGGATTTTTTTTGTCCGTACGACAGTGTTTAACCATTATAGGTAACGTGGCGGCACAAAGCGCTAGACCAGGTTGCCTGCATGTTAAACCATCCCTTGCCTCCTCCACCTTGACGTGGCCAAGTGAAATCGGTTGAGCGAGCTGCACACCGCCGCTAATTGACAGAAGGCGGGCACAAGATTATGCGCGGGAGATTTCAGGTGGCGGCGCCCAACGATGACAGTTGATGGCAATGACTACGTGCGTTGTGTCAATGACTACGTGACTTTGTGTCATTTTGCGGGGCGGGTAGTAGCGAGAGAAATCCAGCACCAGAATCCTGTAACAACCCATTTTCAGACTAACCAGCGGCTCAATAACTTCAAAGTTACTCAAAATGCTTAATCGGGATTGCTTTCTTTCCTACATTATTTATTTTCCTGAGCACTTAAAGGAGCTGTGCAACGATATTCAATTGGAATGTTTTTCTCTCTACACGAGCTTACTGGCACACCTGGGACTCAAGGATACTCAGACGCAACGCCATTGGCCAAGAAACTCCTTTGTTGCGCTGTAATTTCAAGGACAAAAGCGATCATTTTCATTCAATCTCTCCTTTGCAAAATTTGATGACGTAACTCGGGGATCGCAGTACACCCAAGTGACGATATTTGAATGCGGTTCATAGATTGGACCCGAGCATTGCGTGGGCACTCGACTTGGGCTCGTGACAATTGCTAGCTCGAGAAGCATTCGGGTTGTGACCCGTGTCCAATCGCTGCAACGACGACAACAGCCGAGCCATAACAATGTCTGGAACTCAGCGCGTGCCCTGCGCTTTGCCAACCCCAGCGCGTGGCTATGATCAACACTGGCGGCATATAATCGGCTCCAGATCACGTGGCCGCTTGTTCTGGCTGCGAGTTGAGGGGGTGAACACTGCTCGTTTTTTTTAATTTTTTTCTGGGACTTCTATTGCGTGGGGTGAGAAACGAACGCGTGTTTCATAGGTCATTAATGTCAGGGATCCGTTCTAAGCGGTATTTGCGCAAAGTACAAAAATTGTTGCATGACCCCTTTAAGTACATATTCAGGTGGATGAAGTATAAGCTCGCGCGAGCAACCTCTGGTCGTCTCTGTCTCGATGCGGGCGCCGTTCAGTCCAATGGTATGCAACTCTGAGTCTCAACGAAGCAGCGAAATCCAGCTTTGCAGCAGAACAGTCCGTCTTCGCAACATGTTCCGTTCTGGTACGGGCAGCAGAAGTAGTTAATCGTGTCGTACGACAGACAGCACTGAGTACCGTCCGGACAGTGCTGGATCTTGTTGGGGCAAAGGATGGATCCTGCTGATGGAGAATCTGAAGCGTCATCTTCAAGGGTGGCCAAAGGAATAGAAGAGAAAGGAGAGGCGTGGTGTAGAAAAGAGAAAGGGGCGTCGTCCGCGTCCACACGGGGAGCCAGTTCACCTTGAGCAGGAAGGTGGGAACAGATAGAATAAAAAGAAAAGCGAGCAAGTAAAACAAAATTAGAATGTTGAACATATGAAAGATGTTTTGTAATATCATCGGTTACTCAGATTACCACCTCATTTTTCAGGATGCCCAGTTTGGCGGTGTTTTGATACGAAGCTGCGCGGGCGCAGCACGAGCGAGCGCGAATGTTCGTTTGAATAAGGACGGTAAATCTTATTAGCTCCCTTGAGCTACGTTGACCTAGATTATGCTCCCGTTTTGTGCGTATTGTGGCTTAAATTTTGCCTCCGAGTTAGTACAAAAACGTTTCTCGCTCTCTATCCTACTGGGGACGTTTGTTTCTTCGAGATTCTAACCGAGATAATCCTAGACAAAAGTTTATCACGGCAGGCACCGCCTCCCCCAAAAGAGCTGGTGCCGGATGGATGGATGGCAATGGCTATACCCTTTGTAACGGGCGGCAGCTTGCGCCACCTAGCCCTTTGTGAAATGATGGCGATGACGCTTTTACGTCATCGTAGGTGTGTTTACTTTTAGTATACTGCTTCTGTTCTTTTCAGCTTGATGGAGCAGTAAAAATACGTTTTGTCTAAAGACAAGGCAAGATACAAGCAGATTTGTGTTTTAACGCGAAGATGCTACATTCTTTGAAAACTAAATCTAAAATGTTTAGTAATGTAGAGGTAGCAAGTCTCGGTATTAACAAAGGAAGACACCCTCAATACAATATTTTATACATCCAATCGCCGTGAAGTGCGTAATGGGAAAGTCTCGATCACATTAATTAAATAGTCATGTAAAGCCAACAATTAGAATCTCGGACCAACTGATGGCATCACACTACTTCCTGAGTCTACGGCAAAAGTGACACCCAGCTACCGAAGGGCAATGCATTTTTCAACTTTACAAATCGCTCGCCTTTACGTTTCGTTACAAATGAATCTTGTTATGGACCGTACAACCGCGTGATCGTGTAAAGGCTCTTCAGCAGTCCCGCCTTTCACTCAGGGTTCGTAAATCTTAAAGGCTACTTATGTGAGTCAATATGAAAGGTGTGTATCAAATTAATAGCGATCATAATGAGGAATTTCTAGTTAAGATGTCTTTTTTGAGTCACAAGAGATTACAGCAATAGGCTGTGAAATGAATCAATTAACCTACAAATTATCCAATGAATATATTTATCGCTAACAAATGCTTAACGTATTAATCGGTTAAATGTAAACATTTCGGCGGAACTCCGCCTGGTTAGGTAAGTAATAAGAAAAAGTACAACGTAGACTCTAACCGATTTCTTCAATGTGCCCGACGTTTCGAAGCCAGCTCGGCTCCTTGTTCACGGGTGACTGTATATGGGCCCAAAGGTAGCAACCTGTCGTCGTTTTCTTCTCTTCTCTCCTAGCTTTGTTTTCTTCTTCTGTTTCTGTGTGTGGCGCATTTTAGTCCGTGTATGTAGCTGCTTGGAAGCGTTCCGGTGGATCGGTTCAGGTTGTTGCTTGTATTTTGTATGTGCCAAGATTCTATTAAGAGCCGCTTCCTCCAGTTTCTTTCTGTGTCGAGGATGGAGCTGCAGTCAAAGCCAATGGCGTGGCCGGTCTTCTGAGCATGTTCCGCCAGCGCGCTGCCTTGGATGTCATTCTTCTTTACGTCATACTTATGTCTACGCAGACGTTCGGGAAAGTTCTTTGTTTCCCCCACATAAGAGGCGTCGCATTCGGCACAAGGAATTTGGTAAATCAGGCCTTGAGCTTTTTCTTTTGGTGGACGATCCTTTGGAAGAGGAAGAAAATGGCCCAGAGTTGAGACAGGTTTGTGCGTAACTGCAATGCCGTACGGTCTCAAAACGCGGGCTAGGACCTCGCTCGTGCCATGGAGGTACGGGACG